CCCCCCCCCCCAAGCTTCAGAAACAAATGAAATAGATCCTTGGGGAGTTATGCCTATTGAAATTTTTATAGTGTTGTGATGTTTATATGAACTAAATCTCTGTGCTCTTGCAAGCGAATTTGTTAGTTTCTCTATGAAAACCTCAAAACAGTTGATTATAACTGTGACCTTGTTGCCAAAGGCTTATTTAAAGCACATTGGCATTGTTTTGCAAAGATTCTCTCTCAGGCCAGTGAACAAGCCGACGCAACCTGTAGTCCATAGCATTCATCCATGAAAAAAAAATCCGTGAAACAGTTGGTACTGATACCAAGAAATGGCATGCTAACCTGATAAGTAGCTTTGGAGGGGCTCACAGACGGAGCAGAAGGGCCCGCGGTTCCCAGACCTTGACTATTTTCATTTGAGGCTGTCTGTGCCAAAGTCACGGTTGGCGCAGCGATGGCTGGCTCAGCAGGGTCTGAAGGGTTTGAACTGTTAGCTAAAATATCTGCCACGGTCGTCCCCGGTTCTCGGGGTGTCTGAGGCATGGTAACTTGGAGAGCGAAAAGACATGTCCGGCGAACGCGGTGTGTTGAGTAAAAAGACATAATCTCCAAGTGAGAGAGTATCTTTCACAGTGTGCATGAGGCGGGACAGTTAATTCACCAAATGTGAACCAACATTCTTTGGGATGTTATTTAGGCTCTCACTTTGAATGCACTACAACCTTAAAGTTGGCAATTTTTTTTTTAGTTGTAGATTAGGTGGCTTTGGAATCTGGAGACTGGAATTTTGGTGTTGTTGAGCGGTTCTGTCGATTGCCATAGCCACCAGCAGCCAATTACAGTCAAGTCACACGTTTAGCCACCAGTAAACAAAGGTCCACACTACTTATGAGTAAGTGAGACATTCAACATAAGCAAAACTTTAACTAATTTAACCTAAGAAGGAAACAGATTTTTTACAAACAAAAGTGAGAAATATCTTAAGTCTTTAACTCAGCTGAAGTAAACATTTACAGATACAATACGTACCTACAAAGATAATTCCGTCACCTTGCACGCAAGACTAATCTGTTCCTATTTTATTCACAAATTCTCAGACATTGTGCTCTGCGGCATTTTCAGCAATTGTGATGTATATGCAATTTCTTCATATGTTTTTGATGTTGATGACACGTAAGCTGTCATTCGCGTGACTGCTGTGATATGCGTTGATGCGGGATTGTTGGGTGAGCAATACTCCAAAGGATAAATCAATGCACCATTCTGTATATCAGTTCCTAAGTTTAGCTGGAAGAAACACTTAACCGGGGCAAAATGGCTTACGTTTTTATAACAATAGTGTATAGTTGAACAGTTCCTTCAAAACATCCTTTTACAATCCAAACCATAAATCAATGTCTCATTTATTTCAATACAGTTAAACGCATTCTCTTCGACAGTCCAGGCGCATGACCAAAATACCTCTTAAGTGCTAGAAATTCTTTGTCATCTAGACGTTTCTGGTAAAATGACCCCAGTGTGTACACACTAGGCAGACTTTCTAGCTTTTCCTTTGGCTTGTTAGGATGCAGCAACTCAGAGCCTGGCGTTATACATTGTTTCCTTAAGCTCAGGCAACTTTTGGGTAAAGGATACAGGGGTTATAATTTGGCTGTCAATAAATTGAGTTCTGCTAAATTTGCAACAAAACTGTTGTAGTAACTAGTCTGCTGCTTTAAGTTGTTCTTCCGAAATGCTCTCTATTATAAGAAGGTAAATTGCTCACACAGAGAAACATAGTGCCTATCTTGGCCATATACCAACCCATAAGGGTCTAATGCTCGAAGAGACTATTGCCCACGTTCCTGCAAGTGAGGCAGTAGCGCCCCCCACAGCCTAGCAAAGGGACATCTACCGGTAGAGGACATTTGTGGTGTAGACCAGGGGCTGACATGTGTCGCTGGCTAATGGTGACTCGCCACGGAGAGGCCGTGTTCCCTAGGCATATTTAGTTAACCCAGGTATATAACCCCCACAAGTTTAACATTTCTTCTCTTGGAAGGTTGAAACCAATCCACATGGATAGGAAATTTCTTTTCTACAAGACAAAAAGTCAATTATTATATTGAGAAAAAGAATGCATTGTAGCTAACTGAACGTTGTGGTCTTTACATTCTGGCCCTTTATAGTGATAGGTTTATGTATTAGCGACTGCTTGCAAGAGATCTGTGACAGCATCGAGATAGCAGTCATTTTCTGCCGGTTCTTATTATCAAAGGATGAAGACCATTGAGTCCAGCCACTTTCCAGCAAATTCAGCTGTTATACAACCTCCACCTTATGTACAGTGAATTGATCAAGTTGTTCTGCCACATTTTCCTGTTTATGACAGGACATCTGTCATCATAGTTCAGCTAAACAAAGCTGGACCCTTCTTAGACTTGAAAAGGGGTGTGTTTAGGAAGCTCTCCTGGACGCGACTCAAGTGTGGATATGAGGTGTACACGTGGAAACACATGTTTATTAATTCAGGCCGTATACTAGAGTACAGGCAACGTGGTTATGGTATCTCTGGGAGTTATGCCCCCTTCTGGCTCTGCAATTACGTGCTGTGTTCCAGGCCACAAGCGTAACAGTTGATGTATGAGTGAGCTCTGGCCAGAGGAAGTTGGCTATTGAAGACCTGACTACTAAAAAGCGGTAACTTTTAGTAGACTTCTCTATCTCTTTTGCTATGGTTATCTCCTCTTTAGTTCCAAGGAGCCTCAAGAGAATTCGCTGAATAGCTTGGTTTTCAAAAAGGCCCTTGGTTTGCTTAAGGATAGCTTTGTATCTTCGGGCATGTTGGTCACCATTCTCGGGAGCGTTGTCAGATAAATGCTCAAAAGCTGCCATGGCCGAGTGGACATCAAACACACCAGGGGGATGGAGCAGAAGTTGTCGAAAGTTCTGAAAAGCCTGGCTAACAGTATTTTGGGAAATTTTTGAATTCACCACTTCTATCTTGCATTTGACCTTGTCTACAACATCCTGGGCAGCCTTGGGAATTACGCAAAAGGGAAGGAGATAAGCAAAATGGTTCCAAAAAGGTGTAGGGAAACTGAAATAGGTAACAACGAAATGTGCGTCAATTTTGTAGACAATTTTTTATTAGGCAAGGCGACCTATCAGAGCATAAATATGTACATGAAATGCTCCCATTGTAAAGGAAACTCAGGTCGAATTTCTTTCACTATTGCCAGTTTTTCTTTCCCAAGGCACCTTGTGCCCACCATGTAAACTGGCGATAAGCTGCTAAGTGCCAAGTTCTAGAACAATTGAAAAAACAATAAATATAAATTACTGAATTCAGTAGAGTATATGCATCTTAAAACACAATATCTTGGCAGTTGATGCTGGTGTCAGTTCAAGTTCTGCTGGAGCAGTAGCTGCCACAGCTGCTGGGTCTGGTTCTACAGGAATGTGAGCCATGAAAAGGCTTCAGCAGTGCTACCTGTGTTGCGGAGAATTATAACTCGCTTGAATTTCCCAGGGGACTTTATAGGGGCCAATAAACTCCCTAGAACTAGAATACTGCTACTGGCGTACTATTGGTAAGGATTTCATTGGTTCTTTTGGTGCAGATTGGCCATACTGGGCGCAACTACTACACGCATCACACGTCTTGGATGGACTTTTGCATTCCTGCCCAAAAGAGGACTTCACGTACATACATATCTTCGATTCTCCACCAAAGTGTTTGGCGTGGATCTTGCAAAGCATGTCCTTTTGCATCGACTGAGGTAGCATAACTTTGGCGNACTGGCGTACTATTGGTAAGGATTTCATTGGTTCTTTTGGTGCAGATTGGCCATACTGGGCGCAACTACTACACGCATCACACGTCTTGGATGGACTTTTGCATTCCTGCCCAAAAGAGGACTTCACGTACATACATATCTTCGATTCTCCACCAAAGTGTTTGGCGTGGATCTTGCAAAGCATGTCCTTTTGCATCGACTGAGGTAGCATAACTTTGGCGCCTTTGTAAATGCCATTTTTCACTGACAGCTCGTTCCCGTAATTCCAGCAGGGACGCAGTGACTTTGGGATGTCTGTTCTGTCTGCTGGCCACCCGTTGACAATTACTTTGTGTAATGTGTTCAGTGTGGTGTCTTTGCTAGTTTCCTCACGTAGCTGTTCAAGGCTCTCAGTTAGTCTCGGATTTCTAGCATTGTAGTCTGACTCCATCTCCATTCTGAAAACATCAAAGTCCCGTACTTGTGCTGTTATTGGATGGGGTAGGGCTGCACGAGAGAGTGCGTCTGCCAGCTAAAGAGTTGGCGCTCTCGTACTTTACTGTCAACTGATTTCACTGTAATCTCCTAAGCATTTGTTGTAGCCAAACCGGTGCCTTGTTCAGTGGTTTCTTGATAATGGTTTCTTATGACTGGTGATCTGTTTGGACTTGAATGTCAGGCTTGCCATACCGCCACTGGGCAAACTTTTGGAAGCAGTTGCAGATTGCTAGGCACCCTTTCTGTATCTGGGAATAGTGCTGTTCCATAGGATTCATGCTTGAGGACATGAAGGCAACTGGTTGTAGTTTATCCTCGTCGCTGGGTTGCAGAAGGGCACGGCCATGAGTATTATCACTGGCATCTGTCTGGAGTACAACTGGTTTGTGGGGGTCGTAATAAAAGACTGGGGCGGATGAAATCGTTTGTTTCGCCTTGTTGAAGGCTTTTTCTTGAGCCATCTTCGGTCATGGTCTGCCTGGGCATCCTCGAACTTGTTACCTTCCCCATACACAAGGATGGAGCCTTCCAGTGCAGATGTCAGCCTCGTGAAACTCGTCCGGCGCACTGGTAATATCAAATGGCAGGCCAAGCAATCTGTATTTGCTGTATGATGTATGCATGGTTGTAATGCTTGAGGTCTCCTCATCAAGGGGGATGTGGAGGAAACCTTTAACATCCACTAGAGGGAAGCACTTTGCTGAACTAAGTTTATGAAGCTGTTCATTTAGGGTGGGCATTTAATGTTTTGGGTGATGGATGGCCCTGTTTACTGTTTGGCTTGGATCGATGCATACTCGGAATTTCCCATACGATGGAAAATATGAATACTATATGGGTATTCGAGTTGTCAGCTGTTTGCTTGTTGAATACCCAATGACTACTTTCACATTGAAAACATAAAGGTAAAAATGACCGTGTTGGTCAGTATATCCTTGTTTGACAATCTCATAATCATTACAGTCGACAAAAGTTAGTTCTGTTAAGGTTAGAAGAGCATGTGAGAGGTTGAGATCTCGTGTAAATTGAGACTTGACCTTAGTATACCATGGATTATGATGGCCTCGATTAATATAAAATTAAA